ACTACAGTATTATCTCTTTGGAGCAAGATCACAAGTAAATCACTTAGACAAGGAACGAGGCACTGATGAATGGCGCGGGTATTGGGTAGTTGGCATGCAGTGCTGTGATTTGCTGTGTTGTTTGTGTTATTCACAGTGTATGGTGCTAATGATATCTTCTGCACGGCTAAACAACTGTTTGTTGTTGCCAAGTCAATACGGCAGTGAGTGCTGTCCAGTGAAAAGTCATTATTGGTTTGCATTCTCGTGCTTTATGTTCTGATTCTAAATGTTTAGGGTGCCAAAATGAAATGAAGAGCCAGATATATAGAAGAGTCAGTCACTAGTCATATACGTGCAAGTTCTGCGAGCTTCGTGTGTCTGTCGTCATAAAAGCATATATATATATATATATATATATATATATATATATATATATATATATACATCATTATTAAACGCCATGTGCGATTCGGTCAAAAGCACCGGCCAGAACTAACACGACACCATATCGAAGTGATCGGAGGTAGTGAACTTCACGGTAACTTAATCTCCACACATGTACACTTCGAAAATGCTAGACAACTGGAGAAGTCCTCTTACTTTGTGAGCTCCGTAGGCTTCAGGGCTGCATCCACCAGAAATCCTCGTATTCCGGCCATTTCCTTTTAATATTTTTATGTATGCAGTTCGTATACGGGAACCTAGCTCACTGCGCACAGCTCTAGAAGCTTAGGCGTGCTTTGTATGCAGCTACATGGAGCTTGTTCATCTTCTTCGGATCATGGTGGATTCCGTCATTTCAAGGCTGAGTATTTCGAAGAAAACATGGCAGCATACAATTAAATTGGCTGCTAAATACCATAAAAATCAAGCACGAGTTTGATTCCTAGCTTGTACACTGTTAGCCGGGTAGTTGATGAGATCGGCTGATGGCTGAGGACTAATACAGAGCTTTTGTTTGTCTGTTGCAAGGGAACACAGAATATCCTATCCTTAAAATTCATCAAAACATAAAGTGCAGGTATAATAATCGTCCCAAATACAATAAACAATGGAAATAAGATGCACGACGTGGGCGGCGTGTAAAATTATGTTTGACAATAACTAATAACGAATTCATCGGCGTAATTGCCATAGCCACAAATTCAGTCATCAGTCGGTAAGAAGTAAGGCCCCAATAAAAATGATAAAGATTTAGGCCCCCGGTAATGGCGTAGGCCCTCCTATAATATGGAAAAACCCGAGACTAATAAGCACGGCACCTGAGCAATCGAAACTGCCGTGGCAGGCCAACGAAGAGGCTCCAGTGAACAGTGAAGGGTCCTCATAACAAGAGAGAAAAACCTAACACCAATATGGTGGGATCCTTGAGCGATCGGGAGCACCCCGGCAGGCTAGCACATAGGGTCCGGCCGGAGTACAGTATCCCCTGACCAAAGGGCACCGGCCGAAGATCAGTGTACATGAATTAACGCCCCTGTGTGATCAAGAATGCCCGGGCAGGTTAAAAGAGAAAGCTCTGACAAGTAAAGGGTCCTCAGCAAATAATCTCAAAAAGGGAAAGAGCCATAAGTCAATGAAAAGGGCCCCTGAACATCGAGTGTCTCGGGGCGTTACCTAATATGGGTCCCCAGCAACAGCACGGGGTCCTCCAAGCAAGTGGAAAGAACCCGATACCAATATGAAGGGCCCCTGAGCAACCGAGTGTACCCTGGCATTTGGGGCCCAGGCAGCAGCGGCGGGGCGGGAGAGTCCGCTTAACCCGCGGGCGCAGCGGTCCTCGCCGAGCCCGCGCCGCCCGCCATGTCTCCGGCCGCGTGGCCGCCCAGTGCATCTGCGCCCAGTCCGCCGGTAATCCCCGGGGCGCGGCCGCACCCAGGCCCGGCACGGCCGCCAGGCGTCTAGGTAATTTATAGTAACCATGCTTGACGGTACGCATCACGTGATCATCAGTGGAATGTCAGGTTGACTGTGCCATCTGTTAACAAAGGAGGGAAATAGCGGCAGAACTCAAAGATGCTTCTGTAGTGTTATCTGGCGGTAGGAATCTAAACTAGCCTGGTTGCCATGGATACTGGAAGTTTTGAACACTGAACTTTGCGACCCTGGACTTCGCGACTCTGGACTTTGCGTCCTGGGACCTTATGAACAACCCCAATGGCCACGGAATTGGACGTTTTCTGGACTTGTGAACACTGGATGCTGCGATCCTGGACGATACGAACACTGGACGCTGCGACCCTGGACTTTTTGATGGCTCCACGGCACACAGAAGCCGTCCCTGGGGATAACACATTGCGGCACAGACGCCGCCCCAGGGGCAGCGACCGCGGTGTCGTCGCACGACAGGGGGCGCGTGCGTCGGGGCTTGGTCGGCTCACCGCTCAGGGTAAAACTTGGCAGTACTTAAGTTCGACGAATTCACCCAGTCCATCATTACTTCTCCTTAGAGACATTTCTGGCATGCGCAATCGCACTTTGAAAGTCAGTGGGTTTGTCTTGCCCACGTCTGCCGTGCTGCCAGGCAGCGTGTATGAGCATTATGCTGTCCCTCACTATAGCTGCTAGCTTACAAAAAAAAAAAAAATGTTGCATTGGCACGAGGCGATGCATCGACTGCACTGTTTTTGTTTTTGTTTTGTTAAGTAACTACGAGAAGTCGAAAGATACCCCGCGAAACGCAAATGCCCGTGTGGGCAGATACGTGATGCGAAATCAGGAGACATCTGGGGCGAGCGACTTACAAAACTCAAAAGGCATAGTGGCCAACGTTGGCCCGTTTATTGAACCGGCGTTGATTAGCCTGTCCGCTCAGCTGTCTGTTAGAAACACCTCGCACGTGCTCCAGCTCGCAGTGTAAAGAAGCGTGACACCCGGCTGGTCAGTCAGTAGGTACGTGTTTGCTCTCCGAATTTTCGCACGGATGCGGTCCCTGTCAAAGAGAGCTAAATTGCGTCCCGAAATTTTCAACACAGGCAAACGTGGAGGAAGCCGGATGTTGACGACTTTACTTTAGGATAAATGTTCGCAAAAAAGTGCGCGAAGTAGGTAGGCAGTCGTTAGTGAGCCGATGCACAGAATGTCTAAAGGTCGTTTGACAAGGGCACACAAACATTCATACGAAAGTTTTCGTCGTCGTCATCATTAGGACTTTATGACGCACTTAGCTGCTGGGACTATAAGGCGTCACCTGCCTCTCAGCATGACGGGAACGGTTGGCACCGCGAGGAATAAAACAGCGTACCTCTGGTCGTACGTAAGTGCTCGTATGGTGTCAAGTGTGTACGTAAACCTTCCGTGATAGCAAGAGTTAGTCGGGGCAAAAGTTAGCATGGAAGAATTTGGTGTGAATGAAATGTGCCCATTTATTCGTAATTGGACGTACACAAGTGTCGCTAACGCACAAAGTTCGTGTGACAACAGTACATGCGCAAGAATTGTAAGCATCGATAGCAGAACAAAAATTCGTGTGGATTTAAGTCTTATGACGAGTGTTCCAAAACAAACTGATCACCTTTTTCATGCACCAGCACGTCTTAAATTTGGTCCAAATTGGTCTCAGCGGGATAATCTGAGGCGGAGAGCGCGGCTGTGCAATATTTAGCTCTGCCCAGAATACGATTAACAAGCTACAGCTTTGACCAATTTTGGGTCGGGTGCAGACAGTGTCCTTATCAAACGCTGCTAGGAAATGCAATGTGTTTTTAAAATATCTTCAGTTGAGCCGACTCCAACCCAGTGTGATGAAACGTACACCAAAGTGGTCTAACCAACCCCAACATGTGCGCTTAGTTCTTCGTTCGGATGCATTTGTCAGGAATAAACTTGCTTGCTTAAATATTTCGATCCACTGACCGCCTTTGGCATTTCTTGTGATTTTTCAGTTGTGGTTGGAAACACTGATTGACTCGAATTACTTTGAGGTGAAGGCGCTCATTTCGTGTCATGAATTGCTAAGCTTGTCATAAGATTTGACCCGGCCTATGCAATCGTCCGTGACCGCCGCCATATCTTACCCTGCCCATGCCCAGCCGACGGGATGTGGTTGACCTTACAATGACAAGTGATCCGAGGGCCTGCATCATCGATGGGATCCGCGCTCGAACCTATATCATGTATCTACACACGGACTTCTGCGCACGAATTATTTTTAGCGAACTTTACGTTTCCCAGCTATCATTTCCGTATGAACGTTTGCGTACGAACACTTGCATCTGCACACCAACGTCTGCGTAGGCAATTTTTAATGAGCTTTATTTGCGAAGAAAGTTTGTGCATAAGGAGCTTCATAAAGCTATCCATGTCAACTTCTGTACACGCAAGCATTCTTGTTACGAGTTTTTCCGGAAAACATTTAACCTCACGGGCTTTGTCTGGACATACTTTTTACAGCACGAATCTTTCAAGTTGTGGACTCGACCCTCTACGCACTTTATTTTGACAAACTGTATGCATGCGTATAATTTCCAAATGAATGTTTTCCATGCGTAGTTTTTCGCAATCCAGAAGCATCAATCCTCATGCAGTGCTGCCACCTATTCCTGGCTTTACTTTATAAAAGATAGCAGCACTTACAACTAGTGCCATGAACAAGATATTCCACGTTAATGCCGCTGAGTGTACAGTTATCTAAAAACCACTTTGTAAAGAAGTCCAAATACCTGCCCTAAAAAGGGGGGGATAATTTGCTTGATTGATGTTCTTTGGATGTATCTCAATGTTGTTTTCTGGTGTCCGCATCCTTCGCCATTCTGTCACCGAGCACCATCACACTACACCACGACGAAAGTTAGTTTTAGTGTATTAAGCAATAAGTCTATGTATTTCAAAAGTATTGGTTCGGTTCCATGAGCATCAGTGCGATCAATTCACGTGACCTTATGTCATGCTTTCAATCTCGCACGGGTACGTCAAGAAATGGCGTGCACAGTAAAGTTTTCCTTCAACTCGTGCACGCTTTGAGAGGGCATATATTTGGTAGCAATGCGACGATCACGACCATCGCGCCGTCAGTCGTCGTTGCTCACGCTGGTCGGTTATTGTGGGTGAGCGGGCGCAGAAGATGGGGTCGATCACGAGGGGTGTGCTGTTTAAAGTGGCCACATCCCAATCTGGAAGAAAAGCACACAAACCGTTATTAGGGAAAAATGCAAGTGGATGCTTGGCTTCTTGCCTGCGCCTCGACCTTAACACCCAAGCTCCCTTAGATGAAAAGACATTGGCGCGAGCAACGCAGGACGGCAGCTCCGCGCCAAGGCTGCGGTTAACCAAGGAGTCGGCGAGAAACCTGGCTAGGAACTTCACAGCTGACGACCGACAGCTGCTGTTAAGCGAGATCCAGCAAATCAAGGGGGACGAGGCAATAATGGAGTTCTCAGGTAAGTGTTAAGTGACAGTCTCTGAGGTTTGTCACTTAATGACAAGATTTGAGCTTATTGCTCAGGTGTTAAACCAATTTTGATAACAGTATGACATGTTACATAATTGTCAGTGTCATTGAATCACAAGCAATGCTTTTTTGAATGTGGGGTTATTTTGCCTATACCCTTGAAATACTGCAAGCATTTTTGTTATACCCACCTTTTTTACCCTGCTGATACAAAGTGAATACGTAGCTTCCACCTGGCTGCTACATGTCACACACTTTTTGGTGGAGGAATAATAAGTAAGAGTGGGTCCAGTGCATATAGGCATGATACCAGCAAAGATATGCCTGTCAAAGCCTGGGTGGTGTGAGCCAGAATGTAGTGTGTGTAATGTGTAGTCCAAAATGAGTATCATGGGAACTATGGGGGGGGGGACAGGCAGAGCTTCCTCCTAAGCTTTCAAAGGCAAATTTAACATTGACCTTATGAACATCAACAAAATGTAAATAACAGAGGACCTGATAACAGAGGACCTAACAGAGAAATAACAGAGGACCTAACAGAGGAAAAAATACTTCAAACAGAGCTCCACTAATACACAACCAAATATTGAGTATTAGATATCACCTAGGCACGGGCTTGTCTCATTTAGGTGCTTGAGGCATAAAACTATTCATATGGTACCCACTCATTGTGTGATATTAGATATAGGTGCTGATTGTAGACTTCCTTAAAAGGCAACACTAGTTGGCCAAACTAAGAGAGATCTGATTTTGACTGTGTTTTGCATGCACAAGATCATGGTCCTGGGACTATTCAAGATCAAGAAGTCAGCACTAAGCACAAAAATTGGCACAGAACCTTCAAAATCAAAGTTAACCATCAAGTTCAAACAGGCAGCATATCTTGATTTAACTGCTCAATATAATAATTAAGTTGTGCAAATAGTGTTTATTCAATGATTATTGAAGTGATAGGAAATCCTAATTCACTTGTTAGTAGTTTATTAGTAATTTGTTCTTTGTTGAAAATCATCACAAGTTGTTGGGCTAAACCTAATCCATCATCTCATTACTCATATGTACCTGTGCATTATCTTAAAACCCAGTATTTAGAGTGGTAAATATTAACTTATGAGTATATCCAGGGGTACCCTCATGTGATGAAATTCACATGGAATGTCTGCTTGTGTTTAAAGTGTTTGGATTTGTGTGGTACCCTGTGACATTAAGCTGAGAAGCTGGAGGTATGCCCATGTTTGAATGACATTCACGGGATCATGCCCATACATGGAGTCCAATCACAATGCTTAAAGTATTTTATCTGAGTGGGATCATTCACAGCATGGGATGACTGGAATGACTGCAGACATGACTGCTATCACTGTGCAGGTCATGACAAAACAAGAGCCATTTGAGTCTATCACCTTTGGGATCCCATACAAATGGCAGTTGGATAAACTTTCAGTTTGGCAGCCAGGGTGCACTGAGTATGGCATCACACAACTTTGCAAGCAACATGGCTTGAAACTTGGTGGGATCCAGGCTTCCCAGAGTCTAAAGTGAGGCCTTCAGTTTGGAGGGCAAAAGTGAATGGACCGGGTTTTGCCTGCTGGCTGGTGATGGCCTTCAGGCAATAAGGAGTCTGACCTGACTCGACCTTTTCAGTCAACAAAATGGGTAAATTTAAAATGAGTTATAGTTTTCACAGATGCGACCAGAGTATTGCGAAATACTCACCTGTGTTGGTTAGATATTGATCACGACGGCCATACCTGCACAACTAGGCAGTTCTTATGACCAATTTCGTCAAGTCTCTGGTTTAGATCTCAGTAAGGCCTATCTCAAGATCAGTTCCAAAAAACGTAACATTTGCCTATTTCCGCTTGTTGTTGGCATATGACACCCCTAGCATGACACCTGTGGCACCTATGTTATATAACACCAATGCAACCTACATGAGTCAGATTACTGGCGCCTATGGGACAGGCAGTTGCCTGTTGTCGCTGAGATTTGTTAGTTGTAGCCGGCTCGCTCGCGCCTTGCGATTGATTTCACGCCTTTATGTGCTTTGGCGGATGAGATCTGTCATCAATCTTTAAAACGCCAGAGAACAGCGGGTTCCATAGTTAGCGCGCGATAGCCTGCTCACACTGATGACCATGATTTAGCCCGTGTGAGCGTCTTTTCATCATGCGTCAGCTCTAGGTGGTATTACAGCAGTGTAGCGTTGAGACGCTAATGCTCTGAACTGAGATCGGACCGAGATCCGCTAAGATCTGAACCGAGATCCGACCGAGATCCGCTGAGATCTGAACCGATATCTGCTGAGATCTGAACCGAGATCCGACCGAGATCCGCTGACGGTTGAACCGAGATCCGACCGAGATCCGCTGAGATATGAAATGAGAGCCGACCGAGATCCGCTGACATTTGAACCGAGATCCGACCGAGATCCGCTGAGATCTGAACCGAGATCCGACGTTGTTCTTCAGTTGTTTTGTGCTGTGTGTGTGTGTTGTAATGACGTTACATTTCTCGCGATCACCGACCGGGGAGGTGTAACAGCGATAACACTGCAAGGCGGCAGAAATGAGCCACGTGATCGGACACCTTGTATTTGAACACCACAACACAACTTTTGCAGAATCGCGCCACTTTTTAACATTTCACCGTGCTGTGGTCAGTGGTTGGAAAAAGGTAGGCCCCCATAAGCGGTACTGGCTGGACGGTCCAGCCGCTGGAGGCACGACATTGTTGGCCAGTTACGGTAGTAAGGTAACACCGAGACTCATTCGGCCCGCGGCCTCGTTCTTAATGATACGTCGTTGTCGCTGTATGCCTATGCACTCGTAAATGTAGCATAGAAGTGAACTTTTCACATGGTGGTATCGTTTTGGTGTTTGAGCTGCATATTGACTTTGTGATGTGTGGTGCGTTTATTCAATATTTCATGCGCGCGTTAATATTCCACATCCCTGGTACAGATGCGGCAGAACCTCCAGACAATTTTACCTCCAACAAATTATTGGATCTTTTATGTACTAGCTGAAATACCAGCCACAGTTATGGGCTGCTCCTCGTGAAAAGGTTTCTCTTCTTAGTCAGCTGAATCCCGCTGTGGAACTCGCTGCGGTTCATGCGAGGGGAGTGGAACATTGTCGGCGGTCGGCCGTGCCGTGGTTTGACGTCACGTGGATCGCGCGGCGACCTCCGACCCAGCGCGCGCGGCGAAGGTGTACCGTCAGGAGGGAGAGGGGGGGGGGGGACACTGAGGTGACGCGGCTCGTTGAAGTCGTCCACAGGTCATCGTTTGATCGGGATATGAACAAAGCTGTGAGTTGGGGCCCTGTTGCAGAGTACAAAAGACACACTGGTTGAATGTTAACCAACCTGTGTGTCCATCTGGGCTCATTTGTTTATCAAGACGTGGAGCAAGCGTAATGCAGCCGGTTTTTATCAGGCGGCATATGAGGCAACTCTTAGCCCCGCCCCTCGATTTTCGCCTGGTTGTGGTGATATGAACCCGAAGACGTGAAGATTTTTTTGGTAGAAATAGCCGGCCGAATTTCATAAAAATACCCTGCCAAATTTCATCAGATTACGATCGACTTGCTTTTAAAAAGTTAAAAATTTTACAACTTCCACTTTGTGTTTCAGTTACGTTTCTGTCAAGGAGCTACGGTGATAAAGACTACGTCCGTTGGAAATCTAGCATACGGGCTGCCTGTTCCCCAACAATGATATCAGCGGCAATCGCAGCCGATACCTTCGCGCTGGCATTCATATTTCAGTATTACAGCAAACTGTATACAACAGAACGCCCAGGGGATCAGGGGTGTCCCCATGGTGTCCCGACTGTCTTTTCCTTTTCCTTGTCGGAAGTGCACGGCAGTCTGGCCGTCACAGGTCGCGTTACGGGTCATAGGTCACTTCAAAGGTCACGCTACCAGTCACAGGTCACGTTAGTCGGTGACAGATCACGTCACCGGTGTCAGGTCATGTCACAGGTCACTTCACAGGTCACGCTACCAGTCACAGGCCACGTTATCGGTGACAGATCACGTCACCGGTGTCAGGTCATGTCACTGGTCACAGGTCACTTCACAGGTCACGCTACCAGTCACAGGTCACGTTATCGGTGACAGGTCACGTCACCGGTGTCAGGTCATGTCACTGGTCACAGGTCACTTCACAGGTCGTCGATCTGTCCCCTCGCCGCCATTCGGCGTGCCTTTTACCCGGCAGTGGTGGCATGCGTCTCTCCCTTAACACGTTCGGCGGGCGGGCCGGCTGACCTTGGGGAGGGCTGGAAGGGGGGGGGGGGGGGAGGCTGGCGCTAACCGCCCGCTGACCAACACGTGCTCGCCTCTCTGCGCCTGTAAACAGTGGAGCGGCGGCCCGCCGGGGCTGGGCCGGGCCGGACCGGGCCGGACCGGTCGAGGGCCGTAGTGCGCCCTCGGCCGGGGTGGCTCAGTGGCCCGACGGCCGCCCGCTGGCCCACCCGCTAGTGCGCGGCGTCAGGGGCCGGTGTGGGTGTGCACACTCCGGGCCGGGTGTGCACCGGTGCGCGGTCGGGCGGAGCAGCGGGAACAAGCCGGCAGGCTGCTGTTTGTTTGGTGGACGTAGATGCGCTGCGCTGTGGTATCCTGTTTTCAGTTTTGGTCTCAAGAGGAGAGATGTTGTTCACTAGCAATGTCAAATGGTTGCTGGATCTTGGGAACCCAGTGCTCTGGAGGTTTTTTTCGGAAAGGAATCCAGCAACAAAAAGGGCGGTGCTTTTCGTTGCTCGATTTTTTTTGCAGGATTTTGCCTTTCATGTGTCATGAATGAGCCTAGGTTATCTCTTTATTGAGGTCAGTTATCACGTCTCGTTGTCGAGATCACTCCATGACGCCTTTCGTGTTCAGGTACCAGGGAACATACGTCCGCCTTAGAAATGAATTCTGTATCACTTTGCTGTGCTGACTGATGTGCCGTATCTCGCCATACTAACTGATAATGCAGGACATGAAATTTTGTATAATATATTGTCGTGGGCGGTCATGCCAATCAAGGACAAATTAAACCTGGATCCTTGGGTAAACAATTGTTTGAGTATATGTTTTGGCCTTTCATGATCAGGTCTGGCGTATCATAAGGTGCACGAATGGATATTGATACGGTGCGCTGAACGACCACATCAGATATCATGAACAAAAACACGAAAAAAACGACGCTGGCGAGCGTCGTTTTTTTCATTGTCGTTTTTTCATCGTCGTTTCATGTGCCTAGTCTTCGATATAACTGAATGAAATGATGTGGTTGGACATGCCGCGGCTCACACACATTGGCAGCTTATTGCTTCTGTATAGTTCAGTTTGTCAGCAGCTATGCAACGTCGCCGTCTGCTCCGACATAGCAAACATGGTTCTGAAGATAGTTAATAGGCCTAAGTTCCCTATCTGTACGTTGTTGACTGGTTTTGGCGCGTCAGATGTTACATGCTTTGGTGTTTAATGACACTAATCTGATGCAGCGCACGCGAGCCACCTGATGCTGGCTTCCGTTTAGCTGTTGTTACCTAGTGACATACCAGAATAAGGATAGAGGTGGCCGGCTTTTTAAATCCTTTCGTCTTTGGACGTGAACAACGCCCTTCCGGCGGGATGTAAATTTCAAAAAGCTTGGGAGGGGGCCGGAATGGCAGGGATGCCTTTCTTACCACGCTGTGGTGATACGTTACGTGATACCGAAGGATAGCCCCCCCCCCCGCCCCCCCCCCTGTCCTCTGGTTCTGCCCTTTTCCTCTTTGCTTTTGTTGCTGTATAGTGTTAGCATATCGGCATTTGCATGCTCCGCCGTTATAGTGACGATTGTTACGTTGTCACAATTGTCACAGTGCCGTCTGTACTCTTTGTTTTTTAGCTGTGTAGTGTTAGCATATTGGCATTTGCATGTTCCGCTGTTGTAGTGACGATTTGACAGTGTCGTGTCTGTGTTGTGCCTCGTTTTGCTATGGTGCGTTTACATGCGTTTTCGTGCCTTGGGCTCCCGCGAACAAGCGGCAGCCATCGGTTTACAAGGTTGTGAATGTGCGTGGTTCGTCTAGCTCCCCCAGAGGCATCGCCAACTGTGCAAAATTCTTTCTGTACTGGACTGAAGGCAGGTAGCTTCCATGAATACGGTCGTCTTACAAGGAGTTGTTAAGTCCCCTCGAATGACGTAGCCTCCTTGGGAGTCCCATGGAGCCCCATGCCATGGAGCCCCATGTCAGCGAACGTCGCATGGCGCCCGCTGGCGCGACATGGGCCACCCATGCATGCGGTCTGGTCTCGTAGATGCCGCCGTCTCGTGAAAGACGTGTGACGTGTGCATGCCGTCTTTTGGTCCTGTTTTGAGAAACGTCGTCTTTGCACATGTCATCCATAGCGTAGTGTGTATTTAATCAGCACGGTTTGTGTAGAGGATCCATGCTGCCCGCTCAGAGTAGGCAGTGCGTAGGCCTGGCAGTGTGCGAGCGCGGCGAAGGCCCGAGCCCAGACCGTGCGTTGGTGGCCGCCTTGACAGCATGCTCTCTCTCTCTTTCTCTCCCTCGGCGCGGCGGCAGGATCGCTGGCCAGCCTGCGCTGGAGGAGTCGGTTCGGCCGGCCGGCCAGCGTCGGCGACGCCGACCCCACCGGCCGCTTCTGTCCCATCCCCACCAACTGGCTCAAGCAACGACTCGGTAAGTCGTCCCATCGCGGCCCGGCTCGGGGCCCGGTCCGCTCCTTGTGGGCGTGCGTGCGGGCGTGCTGTCCCTGACCGCCGCGCCGTCACTCGGGGGCGCTTCGCCGTGTCCACTAGAGCCACGCAGTGCCTGGCCCTTCTGTCATTAAATGAGCTGGCAAGCGGAGTGAACTTGCCGGAGGACACGGGTGCAGACCGCCCGCGGTCGCAGGCTGAGTGAGTCTGAGTCGGGGTCACGTCCCGCGTCCGTCCGCAGCGCTCTGCTGCAGCCCGCTTGTGTATGCTCACGGCGCGCCACTGAGCGTTGTTGTCTCGTGTGACTGATGAGAGGCATGGTGCATGATGGATGGGTAGTCGGCCTGGGCTGCTGCGTCCGGTGCGATCTTGGCCGGCTGCCGTTTCTCTCGGTTCCCAGGGCACTTCTAGTGCGGGTGGATTGCTACAGCAGCCTGCGAACGAAGCTGAGAAGCATTCTGGCTGCGGTGTTCTCAACGGTGTGCATGATCATATGATTCCACGGAAGAGCCAAGACGTGATGCGCTTTGTGGTTCCGTAAGCCGTGGTAGCTCTCGGGCAGCTGTCGAGCAGCTGTCGGCCAGGTCACGCTACTGCCGCTGATCGCGTCTGGCCCGCCGTAGTCGCGTCCGGCCGGCGGATCTCAGGGTGCCAGCCGCGTTACGTCACGTTCCCCGCGTCACGCGGCTCGCCGTCGGCGTGTGCGGGGGCGCGCGGTGCCGTCACACCGCTGCTGTGACGTATCCGCGGGCGTGGGGCGGTCGGCCGCCGCTGGCCGGCCTCTGCGGGACAGCGCTGGTGAGAGAAGCTGGCACGTGCCTCGGATGATCGGGCCGCGGCCCTCACGGGATGAGCCGGTGCGGTCTGGCTCCGGCGGTGCTCGTGCGGGACTGCCGGGTACATGATGCTATCATACGCCGGGGCGCAGCAGTCGTAATTAGATTTTGCGAGCACGAGGTAGGGAGCTACTTTGTCAGGCCGTGTCATTAGCTAATTATCTTGGACGATGAAATGTAACGTATTCTGCTCATTCCCCGGTCCCCATCTTCTTGAAAACAGACCGAGTCGACACCTTCCACCACATTTGCCTCCAGTGTTGCGAATTCGGTCTGTTTGCACGGCTTAGCATGTATCCGGTGTCCGGATGGAGACCGGATACACTGTATCCGGAGTCTCCATCTGGTATCCGAATGAAACTCGCCGTCATCGGCATTGGGCGTGGATGGTGCGGACACCGGTGTGTCTGATCGTGCAGTGGACAGTGAGGAGGGAGGTCTGCGCTGCGCAGATCCGGCATACGGTTTTGATCAATAACGGCAAGGTAAGAAAAGAACCAGCAGGAAACGAAGTCATATAAGACTGTTTTCACCAGCCGATGATGACGTTAAGAGGGAGCTGTGGTCGTGCTGAATGGTGGGGTTGTCGCGCTTGCAGCACTTGCTCAAAATTTGTTTTTGTGGCGGACCTTTCAGAGCAGCTTGAAATATTCACTGGCGGTTGGCAGGTGTTTTCTCATGGCTGAGCTCATTTGACAGATTTGCCAGTGGCATGGCATGAGCATGGCTCGTATCACCTGTCATGAACATTTTCGTTTCGCTATTTTATTTTGGTTTTGTGACTCACATTTGTTCTTCCTAAATTGCACTTTTTAAAATCTTAGTAGCGCCTCCCAGCGAACTGAACTAAGTTTATGCCTATATATATATATATATATATATATATATATATATATATATATATATGCGTATATATGTGTATATATACATACCTACATTCACACACACACACACACACACACACACACACACACCACGCACGCACGCACGCACGCACGCACGCACGCACGCACGCACGCACGCACGCACGCACACACACACACACACACACACACACCACGCACGCACGCACGCACGCACGCACGCACGCACGCACGCACGCACGCACGCACGCACGCACGCACGCTCACGCACGCACGCACGCACTCACGCACGCACGCACGCACCACGCACGCGCACGCACGCACGCACTCACGCACGCACGCACGCACGCACGCACGCACGCACCACGCACGCACGCACGCACGCACGCACTCACGCACGCACGCACGCACGCACGCACGCACTCACGCACGCCACGCACGCACAGAGAGAGAGAGAGAGAAGAGAGAGAGAGAGAGAGAGAGAGAGAGAGAGAGGAGAGAGAGAGAGAGAGAGAGAAGAGAGAGAGAGAGAGAGAGAGAGAGAGAGAGATAGAGAGAGAGAGAAGGAGAGAGAGAGAGAGAGAGAGAGAAGAGAGAGAGAGAAGAGAGAGAGAGAGAGATATATATATATATATATATATATATAATAAAGATATAATCATTGGTATGATTTCCAGTGCTTACTTCACGTATGGTGGCTTACCTTACCTTAACAATCGTCTGACATTTAGCGGAGATCAAATGGCTTCAAAGTCGCCGACCGTGTTCAAAGCTGTCCTGAAGTCTGTTTCTTGAACAACACGCCGATTAATAAGGTACTCGCACTGTTTGATTTGGCTTGCTCGCTGGCATCAACTATCAATCCGCTTCAATAAACCCGGAGGACTGTGGGCTCCTGTCCTGTGGAGCTTTTTGGGTCAACGCATCGGAAATGAGTTCAAGGCGGCCGGCGGCGCATACCGCGTACGTTTGGCGTGCCAGGGCGGCAGCCGGCTGGCCGCTATTTCCGTACGCCCGCGACGGAGGCGTGGGGATCGATACCGACCACCAGAACTGCGGATATTGGTGACCGGCGGCCCGCGCTTCGAGTCGCGCGCCCGAAGACACGCTGCAAGGTGGTGACCCGCAGCCGTCCGCCGAGCGCCGGGGGCCGGCCACAAATTAGCGATAGGAGGCCCGGCCCCTTTGACACAGACGCCAGGTCGCTGTCACGTGGCATGTGACGGGTTTCCAGCTCACCTCGCGAAGCTCAGTTTCCTTCGCGGAGCGGGCGGCAGGTCGGAGACGCTCTGTTGCATCTGCAAACGGACTACGCGCTATCCGCCGCCGCCGCTCCTCGCGCGCGTCAGCCCTGGCCAGACAGCTGTTAAGTGGCGGACTACCTCTGAACAGGAGGGCGGAGCACTTACGAGTGACCGACGCGTCAGATGTACCAGCACCCCCCCCCCCCCCCCCCGCTGCCGCGTATGTAAACACCACAGGTGCACGTGCGGCGAGGGGCGGGGGAGGCGGCGTCCCTTGTCGGCCGGGATGCGCTCTTGGCGTGCCTGCGCTGACCTTCCTGCGCCCCAGGCTATTTGTACGGCGGCGTCTGTGTTCTACGCAGGCGTCGTGTCGGCTCGAGGCAGGTGTGCGCGGCCCGCGGTCGGCTCGAGGGTGGTGATGCGGAGAATGACTGTGCAGTGCCACATGTCGGCTGATGACGGGCGAATTACAGAGTGACGCAGAAGGCGTCGCCCTAGGTGATAGCGAGTGACGTGTTCCGGATCAGGTCACCGTAGAAGTCGTTTCCAGTCTCCACGTCCCCGCCTCAGAACGTCTGAGGCGCACCCGCGGGCGTGGCGTCGATCGCACGTTCTGCAGTCGTGTGTGCGCGTCGCGCCCGTGTCATCTGGCCGGTGTCTGACGAGCTTGCCCCTTCCACGAACATGAGGACAGTTGTTGGCATAGGGACTTCACGACGCGCCACTGCTGCTGAGCCGTATATGGCATCGCCTGCCTCTCACCTTGACACGAAGGGCACCGCGGGAAACCGAACCACTACGCTGTCGGCAGGTACCGTGATGTGGGGACAGTCGGCCCGTCCTCGGAGACGGTCGACCTTCGTCGCGCGGCCGTCTCCCGGACGTCTGGCCCGTGATGGAGGGCTACCGATCGGCAGATGAGGCCCTCCCTCCTCCCGCTTTGAGCGCCGGCGCCACTCAGAACTGGCGACCCGCGCAGTAGCTGAACATAAGACGACGCTGGCCCGTCGGCGTGTTCTGAAAGACGCTCGGCGGTGTTTTGCGGATAGACGCTTGCAACCGAGTCGGGACGGTTGGCAACGAAAGCAGACGACTGATAATGGGTCGTGAATCTTGTCCGGATTAGCAAGTTTAGGCAGACATTGGGCAACAGAGACCTTTCGACACACCGTACGTGAGCTATAAATCGTAATTGGCGGTCAAGCAAGGCCCAGGGGAAGCGATTTTTGAATGACGAGCGGCCGGGACCACAGAGAGCGCTGCTGGCTCGGCCGTGCTGGCGGCTCACAGCCGGTCTGGGGCCGGCGTACTGCGTCACGCGGTGACGTCATGAGCTGTCGGCCTTGCCGTGACGTGGGGGCGGGCCAGGCGCGTGGCTGCCGGCCCGGCGCCCCGTGTTTTTCTTTCTGGAACTGCAGCGCCCGCGGCCGGGCGAATGGGTGGTGAGGCTGCGGTTTTGCTGACTTCTTATCGCTTTTGTGTCAGCTGGTATTATCGGGCGGTCGTAAAAGGTTGGATGGACGACTGCGTCTCGTATCGCCAGCTATCTACCCCGTTCTCGATTAGATGCTTTGTAGCCGATTTTAACGTCACGCGAATGTCCACAACAGTTTCCTCACGTCTCTTCTCTGTGACTGCTCCCCCCCACCCACGAGCATACAAAAATGCGTTTGCTTGCCGCGGGCGTGCTGCGCTGTTCGCGTTCTCTCGGCCCGCCGTGGAGCCCGGCCCGGCCCGGCCCGTCCGCTGCCGGTGCCCACCAGCCTCCGCCCGGGCGTCTGCCGTGAGCGAGTGGGCCGGTCTGTGCCGAGCGCCTGTCAGTTCCCACAAGCCGTTGACGCGTTCATGACTTTACAATCAGCGCTGGCGCCCGCCGCCCCCCTGCATGACGTGGCCGTGATATTACGCCCGGAGACGGCAGTCAGCGCTGTTGTGCTCGGCTCTCCTCTGAAACGGCCGCATTCGGGCCGGAGCAGCCAGCACGACCCCGTCTCACCGGCGACCAGTGTCTATGCGGCGGGTCCGTGGCCGGCGGCAGGGAGCCAGCAGAGCGAGCCGCCGTCGCCGCCGCCGCCGCTGCCCCTTGTAGACTGCCGGACGCCCCCAGGGCCGGAGACGGACCGGCTAGCAGCTCAGCTCCGCTCTGACCTATCGCGCGGCTGGGGGGCGGCCGTCTGCAGCGGAAGAGTGGAGGAAAGCAGCGGCGGTCGGCTGGTGCCGGTGGTTTGTCTAGCACGTCACGTAGCGGCTCTAGTAAGGGAGCTGAAGGTACGCTTCCGACCATGGATTATGTTCTTGTTAATGCTGGCTTTTCCGAATAGCCGTCCACGGCTGTTCATCGGTTGCATCTAAGTCCGGTTACGAGTTGCAAGCTGCAACTCCGGTGTTGTGGGAGAGAATGTCCGGCATTTCGGAAGCAAATGTCTGATAGTGTGAGAAATATATTTCCGGACAGCTTACAGAAGGCAGTAAGGCTATTAAAAAGCCACAGCCCTCCATGACGCATCCAGCTCCGAGCCGACGTGGCCCAGATCCTGACCTCCAATCACCGCCTCTGTCACCTCCCCCCCGCGCCGACACCGTCTGTCGCGCTCGTCACCTTCAGCCCGCCGGACAGCGCCCGTCGGGTGGTGTCTCTCGACGCTCCTCGTGTTCCCGTCGCTGCCGCCGCCGCCGCCGCCGCTGGCTACGCGCCCGAGGCCACCGACCGCCGCCAGCGGTGCCAGCGGGTCACGGCCGGCGTCGGCCGCCGCCAGGCTCGTCACGGCACGGCAGCGCGAGCCAACCGCCCCGCCGCTATCGGTGGGCCGACCCGACCCGGACCGCCGCCGCCGCCGCCGGCGCCGTTCGTGGAAGGCGGGCGCGCCCGGCCGTGCCGGAATTGCGGAGGGCCCGGCACCGGCCGGCGTCATGCGATGTTCGCCCACGGCTGGGCGTGAGTGGTCCGCAGGCGTGGCTCCCGGCGGCCCGGGGCCCGTTCCTCCCGAACAGCTGACGACGGCGCGATGGCTCCTAGCGTCCACATAGCTCGCACGCCGCCGCGCGGCCGCTCCGGCCTGCCAAACGACGACGTCACGCGCGCCGCATTCCGGTGGTCGGCTGTGACGTCGCAGGGATGACGTCACCGCGTGGGTGCCGGCCGTTTTAGCCGGTGACGCGCGTGTGGGGCGCCGGCCCGGCGGCCGGCGGCTGTGCGTACTACGCCTCCCCGCGTCCGCTTCGTGGTGAACTCGACGTGGAGTAGACTGGGGAAGCAGGACTATTGGGGCCAGTGCAGCGAGTACGTCGTGCTTTTTCAATGCAGGGTGCGCAAAGAGGGAGCTTAAAGAAGCAAGGACGTGAAGAGTCCAGCAATTAAAGGATGCTTGTTCTTGTTGCAACACGCTGCCGCCATGCCGATCGGGTCGGCTGCATTATCTATTGGGCTTGCTGATGGCTGACCAGCGGAAGATCTTCAGTCCCAGCGTACACAGTTTTCGTTTCGGCGAGCTTAATGAGGGTAGGCGAACAATCCCCCGCCCCACCCCCTCTTGCGACGTCCCATCTAAAGGTCCCTTGACGAGCCGCCGGTGCTGACTCGTGACGGGCTGTCAGTACCGGCTGAAGTATCGGCAGCGTGCTCGAGTGCCGGGAGGGTGGCCTCCAGCGGCCGCCAACCGGACTAACCGGAGCGGCGGGAGCTGCGCCGGTGCCAGCGAGGCGCACGGGACCGCCGCGCCGTCAGAGAAGCCTCTCCCGGACTTACCGGAGCGGCGGGAGCGGCACCGGTGCCAGCGAGGCGCACGGCACCGCCGCGCCGTCAGAGACGCCTCTCCCGGACTAACCGGAGCGGCGGGAGCGGCGCCGGTGCCAGCGAGGCGCACGGCACCGCCGCGCCGTCCGAGAAGCCTCTCCCGGACTAACCGGAGCGGCTGGAGCGGCGCCCGTGCCAGCGAGGCGCACGGCACCGCCGCACCGTCAGAGACGCCTCTCCCGGACTAACCGGAGCGGCGGGAGCGGCGCCGGTGCCAGCGAGGCGCACGGCACCGCCGCGCCGTCAGAGACGCCTCTCCCAGACTAACCGGAGCGGCCGGAGCAGCACCCGTACCAGCGAGGCGCACGGCACCGCCGCACCGTCAGAGACGCCTCTCCCGGACTAACCGGAGCGGCCGGAGCGGCGTCGGTGCCAGCGAGGCGCACGGTACCGCTGCGCCGTCAGAGACGCCTCTCCCGGACTACCCGGAGCGGCCGGAGCGGCGCAGGTGCCGGCGAGGCGCACGGCACCGCCGCGCCGTCAGAGACACCTCTCGGTGGCCGGGCCGAGCGGAGCGTAATGGGACGAGACTGGAGGACTGGAGGACTGGAGGACGTGAGGGCAGGAGGACTCCGGGGTGGCAGGTCGGTCCGGCGCGGACTCCGTGACGGCGGGTCTTGTCGCAGTCTTTGGCCAGCGCCGAGAGAAGCTGAAGGCTGTCAAGCCTGACGGCATCGCGCGAGGGAGGGAGTGGACGACGCCGTTGTTCCGAGAATGGTCTTGCTGATCTGTTATGGACACCGTAACGTTCGCGCTACCCATGCGGAACCCGACCGTCACAAGAGACCTCGCCCCTTTCCTGCACACTCGCGACAAAAACAAGCCGGTGGCACTCCCGCTCGCTAACGGGATCAGCGCGCCCGAGCGCCCAGATGGGCGACGGCGCGCTATCAGCGCGTGGGGGTGTGCGGAACGCCCGCGGCCGGCGGCCTGGGCAGCTGCCGCAGGCGGCCGGGATGATTAGACGAGCGGCCGCGGTGGACGAGGAATCGGCGCGGGGTCTGGACGCCGCGGGCCGTGAGGGTCGTTCCCATGCGACGGAGTAATGTGTTGGCCTGCGATGAGTCGGTCGGTGCGGGTGCGTTGTCAGCTTCTGGTTGGTGCGGGTGTCATCGCCAGACGTGCAGGTGTGATCGCCGACGTCCGGCGGTTTAGCCCCGCTTAGGCACAGCTCGTGCATCGGTAAAGCGTCGCAGAAGCCGGTCATGCTTCTGCCGGCTGGTTTGTCTCCTGTTCGCTGTGAAGTGTCTGTAAATGCGTCCGCTGTATCGTGATGTGTATGCTATTTTCAGCCGAACAGGGGCTTATCCTAGCTGCTTACGACATGCCTGGTCTGCGCATTATATGTGAGCCCATGCGTCGGGTTCGGGTCCTTGATTCAACACGCACAAAGTCGTGTACGACAAAGCAGACGATAAGACCGAAACCCTCGCCATTGTCATACTGAGCTAATGTAGTGCAACTAATGCAGCCGGATGGGCCATGTGCGGCCTGTCGGACCGCTGAACGGAGTGTCTTGAGTGACCGGTGAGTGCGGCGCGCGTCCCTGCCCGGTCGCGGTGGCGGTGCCCCGGGCCGACCATTGCCAGCCCGCCTGTGAGGTCAGCGTAGCCGCGTGCTGACGTCGGCCTCTGTTCTGTTTCAGCCACGAGTGTCCCGAAGCCCACCCCCGGCCAGCTGATACACAGTGAGAGCACGGCAGCGGTCGGGCGGTGCTCCGCACCCCGGCGGTGGTGGTGTTCCGTGCCCCCCCCCCCCTCCGCAAATGTGGCGTTCTGTAGCCTCTCTCCCGGCTGTGGTGTTTTAAACTCCCTGAGTTCCTTGTTGTGCGTCGCTGCCGACCGACGGGGAGGGGGGGGACGGAAGGGGGCACGGCGGGGGTCAGAGTTCGGGGTGGAGTGCAGGGCGCGTGGTGCTGGTGGCAGCTGGGGCTCGAACACTCGCGTGTATGCCGCATCACGGCGCCGCTGTGACCTCCCAGGCGGCGTCACAGGCCCCCAGCTTTGCCTTCTGGACCGCTGAGAACGAACGAGCGGTGCGGTTTTGTTGAGTACGCCTGCTAGCTGCTAAGTTGTCGTTTCTAGTCGACATTCGTAGCCACATTTTGGTTAGCCAGTAGCCGCACTTGGTGTACCGTATGAGCCAGCGTTGGACGCTGACGGTGTTGTTTTGGCAGTTGTCTTTGTTTGCGCTTTGAGGACTGACTGGTGTTGTCTCTTTTGCAGCTGCGTTGTTTAACTCCATACCATTCATTGGCTTCGGATTTTTAGACAATGTCATTATGATCACTGCGGTAAGTTTCTTCTGCAATTTGTCCTGTGCCGTACTCCTCGTATTTGCGATATGCTATTCTGTGGCACTATAAAGGCCCCCTGCTGTTGTCCTTGGCACTGCTTGTGGTGTTTGTGTCACCTGGCGTAGCGCATGTACCACATTCCCTCATACCAGGCACGAACCGGCCGACTATTCAGACACGTTTGCCTCTGTGTGTGCTCGCTTGGCGGCCATCACGCGTGTCCACGGCGGCGGCGGGACCCCCTGCGCACCTCGATGTGCGGCACCCGCTCACCGTCACGGTGGGTGCTGACCTCTCTGACCTGTGACCGGCCCGCCGCAGGGTGACTACATCGAGGCCTCTGTGGGCGTGGCGTTCAGTATCAGCACGATGGCGGCGGCCGCGCTCGGCAACGCCGTCTCAGACGTGGCTGGCATAGGTGAGGCGCCGGCTGCTGGGCGTGGCATGGCGCTGACGCTGGGCCACCCCGCCCGGAGGGCAGCTATTCTGCCTGGGTCTGGAGCGACGTACTGTTGGGCAGGACAAGGTCTTTTCAGCTATCCAAGCATAAGTTCACACTTATTGTCCCTGGTTTTTTTAGCCCCAGGGCACCAGCTAGCTGAAATAGTAGCCGATACGCTCTGACTGAAGCGAAGGTTCAGAAAAGCATAGTCCGTACTGAAGCTGAGGTTTCCCCAGATGTGGAGTTAATGTGAATGTTGTGCGCTGTTTGATTTCCTCCAGTGATTTCGAACCAATGCAGAGAAGGGGCGGCGTGATTAGAGACCAAAGACACCCACGGGGAAGACTCAATCCATGTGAAATTACATTATGCTCCTCACTTTACATCACCATCCACTCCTGGAGATATGGCAGCGATGTGAGATGGACTTTACGATGTGCATAGTTTCCGTTTTCCTATATAAGACCGATGAGTGCTAATGAGTCAGGAGTGCTATATATATATCGTAAGCAGCTTCAGTGTATTCAGATATACATAATATGCTTCCTTGTAGTGAGTTTCCTCAGCTGAGTAGTCTCATCTTCGCGGCGGGAATGTGGATTTGACATCGGCATTCAGGGAATCATTTGGCTGTAACTGTTTTAGGCGAGACGTTGTAATCTCTAATTGTCCGTAGGTTACTGTATATCCAATGTTCAATGCTTCATTATTTCATGCCCGTTGTCCACTGCCTTTTTTCTTTGTTGAACTTCGCAGTGACTTCTTAGCCGTCGAAATGCTCAGTTGCCTTCTTGGCTAATTCGGGGACTCTGCGCACCGGGGGTCGGAGGTGTGTCTGCAGTCATTAAAGAGGAGAGCATTCCTCCAGCTGCTGCGCGAACGGGTCCCTAGCCAGAGTCCTGGGGGTCGCCCCTCACCACGGCAAACACCTGCGCCGCTGCCAAACGGTGCTATGAATTGTGCCACGCCGCCCTTGTCCCACTGGAATGGGTCCAGAGTCCACAGAAGACTGGCAGCGCGGCGTGTTTGCTGGTGAGCTGGCAGCGGAGGCTGCGGCAAACAGCTCAGCGTCCCGTGACCCGCCGTCGGTCGCCAACGTATCCTAGCAGAGTCCCTAGACATGAACCCGGGCATCGTGTCCACGCACACCTACCGCCGCACAGGCACCCTCCCAAGCCGGGACGGGGCGGCGTCCGGGCGCCCTGGCGGCGAGCTCGCCTGGCCGTCGGTCGTCGCGGCCGACGCCGGGGCAGACGTCATCGTCGGCGACGGAACACGCTGACGCGGCGCGTGCCGGACCGACGCGGCGACGGCGGCGAGGACCGCGACCCGAGCCGACCCGCCGCCGGCGTTTTGGCAGGGCTTTCAGACGGCGCCGCGACGGTCGCTGACCTCGCCCGCGGACGTGTGAGGGGTGCCCAGAATCAGCCAACACCGGCGATCTGGCCCGCCGGCCACCCGCCGGGGGCCGGCCAGCCACCGCGGGGTTGGCGTTCGCATCGATTATCGCCCCGTTACCGTGGGCCCTGTCGCTGCGCGCCCTGTCGCCACGGCCCCCGTCGCCACGGCCCCTGTCGCCACGGCCCCCGTCGCCACGGCCCCTGTCGCCGCGGCCCCTGTCGCCACGGCCCCTGTCGCCGCAGCCCCTGTCGCCACGGCCCCTGTCGCCGCGGCCCCTGTCGCCACGGCCCCTGTCGCCGCAGCCCCTGTCGCCACGGCCCCTGTCGCCGCGGCCCCTGTCGCCACGGCCCCTGTCGCCACGGCCCCTGTCGCCGCAGCCCCTGTCGCCACGGCCCCTGTCGCCGCGGGCCCTGTCGCCACGGCCCCTGTCGCCGCGGGCCCTATCGCCGCGGCCCCTGTCGCCGCGGCCCCTGTCGCCGCGGCCGCGCTTGTTCGATGGCACGAAGGAAAGCTGGGGACGACTGGCGGCGGCGCGGCGTCGGGCTCCAGCTGGATTGAGGTCGTGATTGCCCGATGTCCGGAGCCGGCCGAGCTGGGCAGCTGGCGGGCTCTCGGCGGGCCCCAGTGACCCCAGGGGTCGCGGTGGCTCCACCCGCGCCAGCCACGTGACTGCCAGCTGAGGTCAGCCTTGGTCACAGGCGACGGTCACGTGGTTTCGGTGCTCAGGCGCCCAAGACGGCGGGCACTGGAGCGGAAGTGGTTCATTTAGGGGGGATTCGACGCCGACAACTCGGAAATGTCTGGCGCTATTTCGGTGGGTCACGAGGTGAGAGGTGGGCTCCTCGCTCGTTGCCAAGGGCAACAGATCCTTGCGGCACGTGCCTTCCGCCGAAACCGTCCACAGCGTCGGGAGTGTACGTCACCCCGCTGTCCGCCCAGACGTACGGCTCACATGCCGTGATGTGTTGGGCTTCCACGTTATCGGAGGTTGACCTGTCGGCTGTCGTCGGCGTCCGGTGCCAGCGGCCCAGCAGCTGTGGCTGTTACATTGATACATGACACTGGCATTGGGGCCCCCGTTTTCTTGAGCTGGGTCCAGTTGGGATCGAAACTAATAGCAGCGGTAGCATCATTCCCAGAGTTTCTTGATACTTGGTTCCACGTCATGAACAGAATATGCCGATCGTTGATAGCTTGCGCAATTTGTATTGCATTGGAATGTTGAGGAATGTGGTTAGTAACTTGTATGTATATATATATATATATATATATATATATATATAATGAATAAAGTCTATATATAATAATAATATATATATATATATATATATCAGTATTATATCTTGTTTGTGGTATGTTTGGAGTGCCGAGTTTAATTGGTTGTGCGTTCATGCATACATGCAATCTGCCTGCATCTGACGGGTTCAGTTCAGAAAGGACACCTTCGGAATTGTCGGTGTCTCTCAGAGTTGAGTCTCGGGAAATGTGGGAAATCTCTTCTGGGAACTGTCCCAAGGGACACACCTGACGAAACTCGAAAAATCGAGAACCTGCCTGGCAGCTGGGTGCCGAGCATTGCGGTGTCGTGTTTGCGGCGTCCATCTGGTAAACAGTGGTGCTCCGCCGTCACTGCACCGAAAATACACTGGGCCTGGTTCCAAACCACCACCTGACCCCGAGACTCCGGCCCTGCGCGACCCACGTAACCACCCACGGGTTACGTAACTGGAGACTCACGAGCCTTCTACCGGTATGTGTTCGCTGCGGTGTGTTCGAGTCCCTCCTGTTCGGGTCCCTTCGGCTCGGGTCCCTCCGGCGTACAGCAGCGGGGCTGACCTTCAGCTGTGCAGACGCAGCAGTGCCCGAACCTTCCTAAGCCGTCGCTATGGCCTCAGCGAGGGGATGTCGCCGAGGTGCCGAGCAGGTCACGCCGACCTTGCCCTTGTCCCAGCACGCCTTGCGCCGGCGGGAATCCACGTTCTGGAGCCGATTTCGTTGCAGTAGCGTATGCCACGCGGTCTGTGTCCGTCACGTTCGAGATCGGTCCTGTCATTCTCTTCTCCATTTATGGAGGCGGAGTGGTGTGGACCAGACGCGCCGGGCTGAGGCGTACCCTGCATCCGTGTCAGTGACGTTGCTTGTGACGTTTTCGCCGATGTGTTTCGACGGACGCTCTCCTGCGACATGCGCATGAATTTGGTTATTTATGTGCGGACAGCTGATGACAGGAGCCCCGCTGATACACTTATTTGTTTCCTCGCTGGCAACCTTGCGCCGGTCGTATGACGCATGACTCAAATGACGTTTACAAGGTGACCAAGTAATCAGTGCTGTCTGAAGTCCAGCTTTGAGTACTGGACGGGTATTTGTGTTGTGGCGCGCGCCCGTCCGGCGGCGCCCGTCGCTCGTGGTCCGCCGCTCTGGCGCGCGCCGACCGGCTCGTCAGCGGCGCGCCGCCCTCACGCCCGCCGCCCGCCGCCGCCGCAGGCTCGGCCTTCTACGTGGAGGTGCTGGCGATGCGGATCGGCGTGCCGGCCCCCAGCATGACGCCCGAGCAGCACGACCTCAAGATCTCCCACTGGTTCTCCAACATCGTGAGTGACCGACGGGTGCTCCGACGCGTCGATGTGTGCGGCTGGCTCGTGCCTCACACTCGCGTCGCTGCGTTGACGCGGGTTTGTTTCTGTTGTGGACGTGGCTTATGTCCGTGGGACAGTCAGCTGGCGCCTGTGGCGTGGTTCGACTCTGACCTGTGTCGGTGACTTGGTACACGGTGTCCTCTGGTCCCGTGATGGTGACCTAACGTGCCGTGACCTCTGGTGCCGAGGCATTGACCCGACGTGCTGCGTCCGTTTCAGGGCCGGGCCTTCGGCGTGGCGTTTGGCTGCATTCTGGGAATGTTTCCGCTCTTCTTCCTGCCGGGACACAACAAGACTGAAAAGGATGAGGAGGACGAGGCGACAGCGGCGGCGGCGGAGGCGACCGGCGCCGTCGGACCTGTGGTAAAGGCGGAGGCCCCGCCGGCCGCGGCCGCGAGCACGACGGCGACCTCTTCACAATCGGACACTAAGCCGGCGGCGAGTGTGCAGACCTCGGCAGAACCCGCCGCCGCGCCCTCGACGGCGGCGGCGGCGGCGAGCGCGGAGTCGGTCAGCCCGCGGGCGGCGCCCACCGTGACTGCAGAGCCACCTGTCGGCCGGGAAAGCAGCCCAAAGTTGGTGGGCGAGCCGAAGTGAGGGTGTGACGGGTGCGAGCGCTAGTGTTCGGGTGAATTGTGGTTGACAGAAGTCAAGACGTGAGAGTACATGTTCATACGGCGATAATCATGCGCTGAGGCGGTGACACTTCTCATCGCTGTTACGGCGGCGTGCTGGGACGCCGCTCGTGGCCTGGTGCCAAAATGGCGAGTGTTAATCACGTGTCTGTGTCCATTGTTGGCGTGCGGTGGCTCGGCGTGATTTGACGGTGCTCCTGAGGTCCCGGCTCCGGAAGGCTGCTGCTGACGTTATCGGACTGGCAGGTCTGCGCGAACTCAGGCGCGGCCGACGCCTCACGGGTGTGCCGTTGTTGTGGATCGGGTGCGCCTGGTGCGCCGCGAGCAGCCAGAGTTTGTACTCCGTGTCGGGACAAGATGATTTTATGAACTTTTCAGGTGGCGTGACGCTCGAGCGCTGTGCAATATCTGCGCATGCGCACTAGGCGGGATTAGGTGTCACCGTTCTCGTGTCGATCATTCCATGTGCGCGCCGACGAGCCAGTCACTTTCACGACGAATGTGGCATTGACAGGCCGTTTATTGACGCCATCTAGCCATGTGTATGGGAAAGCCTTGCCCTCGTGTAGCCAGGACCCTGCAGAAAATGGTGTTGACAGGTGAGCAGGTAATGCATAGTAGGAACAATTGTAAATATACGATACCTGGTGAGAACTGAACCCGTCAACCTGTAGTCCCGTCATGGCTGCGTGTCGCGCCGGCCGGGACGTGTCCAGCTGTGCTGTCTTCCTGCGCGTGATCGCCCGCCGCCGTTCGACGCCTCATCCTGCGAACCCAGGACAAGAGCTGCCGCCATGGTGACTGGGCAGACCGTGGGAAACGCTTTGCGTGCCGGTTGCGCGATAAGTCTGGTTGTGCCGAAATATTAAGTGTGTTTTAGTTCTCCCCCCTCCTGTGCCAACCAGGGCATGGGGACATTCTCAACCAGCATCCGTAACAGTCGCCTTGTGCCAAAAACGCACTGCTAGACAATTCACAACAAATCGAAATTCCGACTCTTACGTATCGAAAGAAATTCCGAAGCCTCCACCCGCGTAACACGCGGGGAGCGGACCGACCAGCGGCCCGTGCCCGCACCGTCCGCTGATACTTCCCGCCCATCCACGGTGTGGGTCTGGCCGGCACAAGTCGCCCTCTTCACCGGCAGTCGAGGCACGCGTGACGTGAGACGGACAGGAGGGAATACGACATCCACGTGACTGACGGTTTTAGACGGTTTTTGAGGAACGACTTTACGGACCGAGTGCGCAGGAAAACCTGCTCGGAGTGAGTGACCAACACATAGCTGGCACACGCCACCTATAGCATGTTTCATTGAGGTCCACAACGGTTGAGCATTGTTTACGCAGGACACCTGTTGGTCCACCCCCACACCCAGCCAGTCGTACATCTGACGGCTGCTGGCCCACTCCGCCTCATCCGCTGTCAGCGGCCGGGGCGGGGTCCGGTACGTCGCGCGGACGGGCTCCAGCGCCTCTGGCCATGTCTGCCTTGCGAAGCGTCCACTTCAATCTGCCTCACATCAAGACCGCCAGCGAAAATCAATTTCGGGTGGTGTAGATATTTGGTGTATTGAATAATCGGTTTCGTGGCACACACAGGCACTAGTCCCTACACGCGCGCTGCAAAAGCTAAACAATAAAATGACTTAGCACGACCTCTTCGCGGGTCGCATTAATATCGCACACGGCGGCCTGGCAGCGGCGGCACCGCCTAACACGCTTTGCAGTGCTCACAGCGACAGTGACAAAGCCCCGGGTAATCAAATCCGCTGCGCGAACACATGCCCCCACATAACACAAAATCAACAGCCTCTGATGACTCGAATTGAAGCACTTTGGTACCATTCCCATGTAACTAGCCTCTTGCACTGGCCGCGACTCCCCCCCCCCCCGTCCCCCAGCTCCGCCGACGTCACTGCTGGCCGGCCTGCGCCAGCTGCCGCAGCTGCTTCAGCACCGTGTCCTGCAGCTTCTTGCGATCGCGCTCGGCCCGCTTCAGCACGGAGAACATGTTCCTCTTGTCGGCATCGCGCAGCTTCTCCACCACGACGGTGGCACGCGCCGGACTGACGCGCGCGTAGCGGGCGTCGGGCGCACCGTACTCCTGGAAGTAGGTGGCCCAGTCCCAGTCGAGCACGAGGTCGAGCAGCTGGCGCAGGTCGGCGAAGCACATCAGCAGGGCGCCCTCCTCGAAACCGGCCACCGGCTCCGAGGCGGCGAACTCTGCCGGGGGACCGGGGCGACAGCGTCAGCTGATGGACGACGGGACTGCGACTTGGGGCGGCCTCCGGAGAAGACGATGGAATGGACGACCAGCGAAAGGGACATGGATGGGACTGTAAGAACTAAGGATAGCACATACGGTGACCGGAAGACGATTTGGTTGGTGGAAGATTGTCTCAACAGCCACTCGTTTTAAACGTTACATGACGTTTTAGGTCCTCTTCAGTGCTGCTTGGATGCGTTGCCAAGACTGCGCTGCAGCCTGAACGAATGCGACAGCGAGGTCGAGATTGGTTTCAGTTCAAATCGGTAAGCAATCGATACCGCTAAATCTCGCACATCCCACGAAGCCCGGCTACATCTCCAGTCGGCCTATCCCGCTACAGCACGACATATCTCCATCCCTGAGACGCGGTTACAAGGCTTCCGTCCACTCTATCGCCAGACGAGCAATCGTGCAGCGCGGCGAGAGGCGAGTGCCCGTCCGCCACAGATTGGCCGCACCTACAGAAGGCTCCGTCCTTCCTCCCGCGGGGACCGCCTCTCAACACCAGACACTCACACGGTGACCCCACTCCCGCCCTGGCGCCACATCGCAGCGAGTCCCTTCCGCGGGGATCACCCCTCAACACCAGACACCCACACAGTGACCACACTCCCGCCCTGGCGCCACGCCGCAGTGAGTCCCTCCCGCGGGGATCAACCCTCCACACCAGACACCCACACAGTGAGCACGCTCACAACCTGGTGCCAGGCCGCGGAGAGTCCCTCCCGCGGGGATAACCCCTCCACACCAGACACCCACACAGCGAGCACGCTCACAACCTGGTGCCAGGCCGCAGCGAGTCCCTCCCGCGAGCTCCCACCCAAGAACGCCATCCCCGCCGCCGCCGGCAACTCACGCTCGCACTGAATCACGTCCAGGTTGAGCTGCTGCAGCGCGCCGGTGGACAGCTGGCGCGCGTCCTCGCCCAGCAGCTGCTGCATCAGCTGCTTGCCCACGTGCTGGCAGCCGCTCATGCAGGCCGTCTGCGCCACCTTGGTCGGCAGGTTGGTGAAGGCCGTGAAGGTGGTGTTGAGGAAGTAGATGAGGTCGACCAGGTAAGCGCTGGCCGTGCCCTCCGGCTCTGGCAGCAGCCAGTCGTAGGCGGCCAGCTCGAGGAACTCGTCGATCTTGGCCTGCAGCTGCATGTAGATCTGCTGCTCTGTCTCAGCGCGGATGTCCTTGAACATGGTGTGGCCGACCAGGCGTGACTGCAGGCCGCCGTCCTGCTTCGGGTTGTAGCTGCCGGGGCGGTGAGAACTTAGCACGGGGTGCGAACGCGAGCGGGGCGTGCGGCATTCACTCGCGCCTTCAGGTGAGCAAATCGGGACTCAAGAAAATCAAGAAATCCGGACAATTACCTGCCCACTTCGAGGCAACATAGAAAGGGACATATGCATCTCAACAAATGATGAGTGCTGGCTGTGATGTCGAAAATTCGCAGATGATGACCGACGGTTCGATGGCAATGCATCCTCTTCACACGTGGGGTTTCAACTGAAATAACCAGATGGCCCTCTGCCAGTGAAAAGGGACTGTGGCGCAAAGGTTTTAACGCGTCACTGTTAGAATTCCTACCGATTGTAGTGGCGAACCATCCCCATTCCCACACGACCTGCGCCAACAGGCCCATGGTGATCCGGTGATTCCAGTGACGCTGCCCTGTTCACCCGCTCTGTCGGCATCTTACCCGGTGATCCTGGTGATGACGTCCTCCAGGTAGACGCTGGCCTCCTCCAGGTAGATGGTGTTGATGGTGATCTGGATGAGCTGCAGCAGGCCCAGGCCCGGCTTTCTGATCAGCGTGGCCAGGCAGCCGGACAGCGTGCGCGTCAGCAGCACGTTCGTCGATTTGCGCAGCACGTCGTCCTTCTCGCTCTGGCTGAGGTCCAGGTCTTCGGAGAAGCGCAGGCACGAGTGGATGAACTCCTTCACCTGCGAGTACACCTTGGGCACCATCAGCGAGAAGGGGAACGCCTTCGGGAATGGCGCCTTCTCCAGCTGCGCGTTGGCGTAGGGGAACACGAGCGTGATCTGCTCGTACTCTTGTTCCGAGTCCACCTGCACCGGGTGGTAGTTGTCGCTGTCGAAGATCTCGCGGAACACCTGCACCCAGCGCTGCATCAGCACCTCGCTGTAGTGGTCGCGGATGTCCAGCAGCAGCTGGTTCAGCGGCTGCACCGCCAGGCCGTAGTTGCGGAGCGTGTGGCTGAAGATCATGATGAGTCGCTTGAAGGTGAGCAGCATGTTGGGATCGGTGCAGCAGGCCGAGTGGGTCTGCAGCGCGGCCGTCAGCTGCGCCAGCGCCTCCGACCACAGCTGGTCCAGGTGGGCGCGCGTCACCAGGCCAGATGTGGTGTTGAGCACGTGATCTTCCACCACGAAGAAGCCGGCCACGCCGTGCAGGTAGTCACGCACGCCGACCAGCGACTCGTGCATGTTGGCCGGCGGCCGCAGCGCCAGTTCGCACTGCTGCTGCCGCTGCTTGCGGTAGTAAGTTTCGAACGCGTCGCGCGCGCCCAGCGCCGTGAAGATGTGCAGGCAGCGGTAGACGGCAGAGAAGTTGACCATCTCCTGCGCGGCGCCCTCGTCGTCGGCGTCGTCGGCCGGCTCCTCGCCGTATAGCGCGATCGGCGAGATGGCCTGCACGCCGAGGAAGGCGAGCGTATGCCGCTTCTGCATCGCGGGCCGCGGCGCGGCCGCGTCCAGCGCGCACTGCTCGGCCGCGTGCCGCATGGCCACCTCCCCCACGCGCGGCGACTCGCGGCGCGCCTCCTCCAGGAAGTCCTTCAGGTCGGACATGGACGCGTCGCGGATGCTGTCGCGCATGCGCGGCACGCTCTCGCGGATCGTCTGCGCGAAGCGGTGCTCGGCCACGCGCGGCAGGTACGTGAGCTCGAGTAGCTCGAGCGTCTTGAGCGCCGGGTAGAAGCGCTGCTCCTTCATCTGTCGGCTCAGCTTGGCGTACGTCTCGAGCACAGGCAGGCACGCCATCAGAGCCGTCATGCCCTGCTGGACGTTCGTCTGCACGCGGCGCGCGCGCGCCAGCGTGTCGCCCTGCTGCAGCAACTGTAGCGACACGTCGGCCAGCTCCTGGTGCACGCCGACCACCTCGTGCTTCAGCTTGCTCGCCTCCGAGCGCACCTGCAGCAGCTCCCGGATCGAGTCGATGAAGCCCTGGTAGTGGAAGCTGCACATGCGCTCGATGTTCTTGTCGTGCTCCTTGATGCGGTCGTCCAGTTCTTGCATGAACTGCTCCTGCTCCTCTTTGTCGTACACGTTGCGGAAGGTGGAGCCCCAGTAGTCATCCATGCCCTCAATCTCCTGGATGAAGATGTCATGTCTGGACTTGGTGACATCCTTTGAGTCTTTAGGGGTCGCTGACTCCTCCATTTTGTTTGTTGAGTTGCCAGTTTCTGGTTCCATCAGTTCCCATATCACACCACTCAATAAGCTCTCAAAATAATCACAACTAGACAACCATGGTCTTGGCTTCACTTGGCTTCCACCTACCAAGTTCGGGTAGCATTTTGGCCTGAAATTAAAACATTTTATGACATTTAACTAAACTAATATGAATGCATCACATGGTTCATATTACTGGCTCAAACTGTGGGCTTGCCTACTTGAGCATCTTTGTAACTGGTTCTGGCTCTCAAACTTGGTCAAGGTTCTGCTTGCTTGTGCTTTCTTTGCCACACCAAAGTAAGAAGTGATAATCAAGGTGAAATGAACAGTTGAATATTGTTGTTATTTTCAAGACATTCCATGCAATTAGTCACATTCATCAATTCAACATCTGATGGCAGATGGGTCTGGTGTTCAGAGATGCTGCATGCACATAAAAGCAGCGCTCCACATTTGAGCAAGACTGAGGTCAAACCATTCTTGCACACCAGGTCGATAAATTTTCACCACATGGAAAACTATAAAAAGCATCTCAACAAGTATCACACCAGACAATGCATCGATACATTTCAGCCAGCATCAACTAATAGTTATGTCTGATTTAGGGAACTGCTGCTGTAGATAGGTATAGTGAGTGCACAGCAAAATGCTGCAAACCTCCTGAAACCTGACTGAGCCTGTGAAATGCACTATAAAAACATGTATATCACTGTGCCAGCTAATGAAAGACAGCTGAAACCAGGTTCAGAGACCACTACCTGAACCATGATGCTGGTGCCTAAAGCCTGCTGATGCAACCAACTGGATTCAACAAGTCAAACCATATTTTTTGTTTATACCTGCTTAGCTCAGTCTTCAGATATGAAGCTTATCAGTGGAGGTGTGAGACAAGTTATGGACAGCCAATTATCTTCTTAAATTTGTACTTGAATTTAAATAAAATTATTTTGTTCAATCAAATAATAATTTTAGTGCATACCACAAAACACGCTCATTTTGATGACACTTCTCCATTTTGTATGGAGTGTGGTGCAGTTACACATCATATTATGGATCAACAACAGCATGTGAATGTTGATCGTACTAGCAGCAAGGGTCTGTGGAGCGACAAGGATCTGACGCTGGGCGCCCCATGTCGCATGCTGAGGTGTCAACCACTTAGCTGTTATTCCACCCATAGCTTTGCTTGGCAAGTGACCTATTAAACAGTTCAGTTGAGATTTTTGATGTTGGCTGTGGCAGAAGTGCCATGATATAAATTTTCTGCTTAAATATCATACTAGTTCATCTCATGGTGTTGAGGTCCCTCAATCTAAAATATTACCTTCAGCCTGGATGGAAAAAACACAAGACACTGAACATGTCTGCTGTAGCAGTGACCTTGCAGCAACAATTCATCTCTTATACATTAAATATCCAAGTCCTCAGAGCTTGGTGGGTGGCCACCACCAATTTCAGTGCATAGAGCCAATGTTTCAAGGACTTTTATTGTAACAATTTGAGGCCAGAATACCCTGAAAACAAATTGTTAAGCATGCATTGCTAACACATCAGCTCAATTGGCCTGGTCTGTTTAACACACATGAGTTAGGATGTAGCATACTGATATCTTGTGGATTTCCAGTAGTGACTTTGCAGACTGGCCTACAGCAACCACTTGCCTGACTGGGCCAGTAACTGACATTTGCTGCATGCACACATTGAGGAGAATTTCGATACCCTTTTTGCCTTAAGAACACTTATGCCATGTCAACAAGATTCAAGCATTCTCAGTAGAACAAAAATAGAGGCAAACGTGATGGAGGCGCATCACCAGACCTACGCTTCCTACGCATTTCATTTCTTCATCTAATCCGTTAGCTGTTTGGTATTAAGAGCTCTGATCCGCTATGTCTTCACAGCAAATCCACATAGAAAAGACAGCGATTTGTCAGCACAGTAGGCTACCTAAGTGTAACCACAACAACCTCCCACCGCGGGCGCTGATCGACTTGTTTACATAGGGCGCAGCGAGCGCAGTTCACTGCTAAGCGCTTGGCGCCAGGCAATGGAAAAACTCCACAGCAAAATAAATTAAAGTGCAGCCAAAACATACAGATGGCTGGAGAGTCAGTTCCCGGGGCAAATTTCAGCTATACTTTCCCACCGAACTTGACATGGTAATAAGATTTACGACATTCATGATCTCATACTAGACTTGTTATTGCAAATATTGAACGATATGCCCCCGAGGCTTATCAGGCCTTCTATCGGGCTTAAGCCGCTCAGCCGGCGTGTGCATGATCAGACCCAAGGTCCAAGTAGTGATAAAAATAGAGATATCAAGCCGGTCTTTTGGGTCTTTATTTGCAATGACGCCTCTCCGTTGCGGTACTTCACATGTCCCGTGTAATGTACACACGTGGCGAATTTTCAGCAGGCCATGCGGAAAGCTTCCCTGCTTCCCTTCATGAGCACCGGAAATGGGACAGGAGCCAAGGACAACCTTTCCGAATATTTAATTCTGCACTTAACGGCGTTGTCTGGAAAAAACAAAACAAAAATGGATTGCTGTCTCAGCTTGGCAGGATTCCGGGCATGTGTTATTTTTTTCTGACAGCATATAATGAATGCAGATATCACAGGCGTGGTGACGGGGAAGGCACATCCCACTCTTGGCGAACGTCTGAATTCAACCCCATGGCGATGCACACAAATGTCCCATGCTTATTCAAGAAACGACTTGCTTTCAGCACGACCTGAGCCGTCCGCCCCCCCCCCCCCCCCCGGTGAACACAAATAATTCGACTTGGTACTCTTGTCGCCCACCTCTCCTCAAATGTCACGAACAGTGTGATCAGTTAACAGCACTTTTACGCCACGTCCTCTGATCAGGCAAAACTCTTCCCAGCGTTGTTTTCCACCATGAATGTGTCGGCACGCTGCTCCTTGAAGTTCAGCCATTGGGCGCAGTCGACGCACTCCAAAACCACAACCACCAAGTTCAGTTGCGGAGGCGGGCAGGCAGCGCTGCTTGCGGACCTGCTTGTGATGTGCGCTGTGCACTCATTCCCTCGCACACCGTCACACTCCTTGAATCGAGCCCCGCAATGCTGAGCGATGACAGACAACAGACAGCCAACTCGTTTATTTTCACTGGACAGCTCCAGGGGAACAAGCGTAGACATTCGCGGTCCTATAGTCAATAAATTCCCAATTGCACTGAGACGCAAAGCTATCTTAGCCCTTGGCATAACAAACAGATGCGTAAAGACAAGTATTTTATTGGACAAATCGGATGGTTCCTTACATGACAAAATCCACAAACGATATAATAGAAGCCATAGCGTAAAATTTCGACAAAATGAACGTAAGCCAACATCCAACTGAGTCCTAGTATGCATGTATGTATGTATATATATGTACGGTAGCTGGGTGGCGCGTGGCTCATATGGCAGCAGGCAGGTCAACACAAGCCCGGGCGGACAGCGGCCATGCGGCGCCCACGTGCAGTGACACAACCAAATAGAAAACGGCCCTGGCCGGGACTGCACCAGAGATCGAGACCGATCACGCGTCGGGTCGACGCCCGGCCGTCCCCCTGTCCGTCGTGGGGGTGACTACAAATAACACGTGACACAGCCCGGCGGCACACAGTCCAGGGGCGGGGCGGGGAGTTTGGCAGGCTCGCGCGCTCGCGCGGATAGACGACCGAAGGACAGCGGAGCCGACTCGCGCAGCACTACTTACTGTTACTCGGTATAAGAAACACGGACATGAACATACGGCGCGCTCGCGTGGCGAGCGACGGCGGCGGCGCGCCGGTGCGACCCCGGGCGGTGCGGGCGGCGCCTGGCCGCCGCGCGCCCGCCGTCCGGCGCCACCCGAAGGGACAGGCGGAGGCGGCGCGGCGCGCGGGCGGCGGCGGCCAGACGCGGCCGGCGCGGCCCGGCGCTCGGCGGCGCCGGCGGCCCCCGGCGCCGGCCGCGCCCAGTCGGCTGACAGCAGCACGGCCCTGAGCCCTGGAGTGTGGTGTTGTGCGGCCGTGCTGCCGGCCTCCGAGTGGGCCGGCCGGCGGGGCCGCCGGCAGCGGAGCGGCGCGGCCGCCCGGCGCCCGACGCAGCCGCTCCGACATACACCTGTAAAACTGGACATCATAAATAACTTACTTTTCACAGCAAATCACGTGATGATTATTTTGCCGTTAAACACAATAGTCTACATGTAGTGGGCGCCGGCGCCGGCGCGCGGCAAGGCGGGGGAGCTGTGCGCGTCGCTCCGTCCCGCCCCGCGCGACCGCCGGGCGCACCCTCTGGATAAGCCGAAATAAAACTGATACTGACGCTCAACTGAATTGGACCGGCGGCTGTCACGCGACCGCTCCGCACGCTGGAGCGTTCGCGCTCCCCTCCCTCACGCTCTCTCCCTCTCTCTCTGCTCGGGCGCGCCAGCAGACGCGACTAGAAGTGCGGCCCAGCCGAGCCTGTGCGTGTGCGCGCCGGGCCGTCCGGTCCGGTCCGGCCCCGTCTGCGGTGGCGCCGTGCCGACGGCCGCCGCCGCCGCGCGCGACGGCGGCCGCCCGGCCGGTAGTAGGTAGCGGGTAATCATGACCTGGCTCACAAGACGCCGTCTCTTGTATGGCAGTAGGCAGGCGGGCGGCCGGGCGCGCCGGGCGCCGCCGCGGCGCACGCGCGCCTCACTCGTCCTCGCGCGCCGCGCCCAGCGCACGCTTACCCTCACATCGTGGTCCCATCATTCATAGCATCCTAACTTAGGTGTGGGCGCCGGCGCGCGCGCGCGCGCGCGCGCGAGCACGGCAGCTTAGTCTGGCGCACCGCCGCGCGCCGCGCCACACCCTGAGCACTGCCGTGCGCGCGCGGCCGCCGGCGGCGCGGCGCCGCCCGGCGCCCGGAAGCGGCGGCTGAGGCGGACGCCGGCGCCGCTAGTTCCAGATTTTCAGAAAGCTGTCCCAGGAGCCGGTGCAGACGGCCATGCCGTCCTCGGTCACGCCCAGACAGCTGACGCGATTGTCGTGGCCGGCCAGTACGCCTGTGGGCACGCGCGTGTCACCGGTCAGGCGGGCACACACGGCCAGGGGGCACGCACACGCCGGTCAGGGGTAGACGCTGAGCAGTGATCGCCATTCAGACAGGTAGATAGGGAGCCGTTCCGACATGATGCCGTGCCCACCCACTGCGCAGGCGCACAACTGGTTAATTACATTGCGTTGCCGCGTTTCATTACGCCACAGGATTCTAAACTAAGGCAGGTAGGCATACAAGCTAACACGTGTGCTGCCGGGCTGTGTCACGTGTTGATCGGATAGCACACACAGTGTATCGTCAAACATGTACCCTCGCTCAACACTCAAGTGCGCGCCCTGCGAGGTCTCTTTTCTCGCTCACTCCTCGCACAGCGGGCTGGACGGCCGATCGACTGTGGCGAGTCACTGCGTTACGGGTCCCCGAGCCCAGACTGCTCAGTGATATGCCGCGCGAGACGCCGTGACTGGCACCTAGTGATGGCCCGTCGCTCGGTCAGCGAAATGAATACTAACTGCACTACGTATTCGATGCCCACGTCGCTCGAAAAGAAGCACGGCACGTTTATGACCGCCGAGTATTCTTGCGTCCTATTGTTTCGTAGCCATCACGCAGAACAACGACTCAGTGATATATGACTTCCTCGTCCCTCATTCCAACGCATCTCCGTGACACTTTCAGGACCAACATCCCACCAGCGTCTCCAGCCGCCCACCACCAGTGTCCTAGAATTGCCGACTTTGGGTGTAAAGCGACACCCTATGAGGAGGAATTTTTCACTCCTTTTTCCCCATACTTCATGTGAATTTTTCATTCCTGCCTGACATTGTCTAATCGCACGTGCCAAACCCCTATTTCCCTTTCTGAGGTTTTCAGATATCATCTAAAACCGAGCCCACTTGAAACCACCAAGCCTAAACGAGGCTCCACAGAACCTGGACACCAATGGCTACTGTCTTGTCTCGCCTTCATCTGGATCATGTCTATGTATGCACAGAGCAAGGGCGCCAGATATCTTCAAGCCCAAGGAACCCCAGCGACTTCATCCGCTTGCACGCATTAAGTTTGGTTTGTTTACAAAATGCATCACAGCCGGCAGCTGTGTGCCAGCTACAAGGTTTTCACCCATTCCCTTTTTTTTGTCTCACCACCACACCACGAAAGCAGAGCCTGTTGCAAACACCAGCAAGGCTTGGTAGAGAATTTTACTCCACGTATTCACTCCCGAAATGCAGGAGAAAACATTCAAGAAATGTCTTCTTAATCAAATTTATATGATGAATATCACCGTTTGAACACTCGTATTAACAGATTTTAAGTCAAGTCCGGCTGATTACAAAATTTTGCCAGAAAAGTATCAGTCTTTACATTTATTTAAGTACTTTTGTTTTTCTTGGAATCATACGAGTGTGATACCACTCTATTCATCCTTCCTTTTCGATTGTCCTTTAGAGGTACCATATGTTGCTTAAAATGTTGACCAATCTCTGCAAGATGCTCCAAATGCAAACAAATTCACAGGGTATGAAGGAGACAATTTGAGGCACGCAACTTATTTTTACGCCATTTTCGCCCTGTTGGACCCTCGGTTAACCATTTTCTTGGTTCATGGCGGTGCTCAATAACCATAAATCTAAGTCCTTTCGAGTGTCTAACTCACCAGGCTACCTGACAGGGCTATCCTAATGCTGCCATACGAGGTTTGGGACATACCTGACGCAGCTAATACAGAAGTGTTTGATGGCGAAATTCTGCGCTCTGGAGACGTTCATCATGCACACC